TGTTTATATTTTATACTCCTCGTAATATGGGGTAATTCAGTCAACATAATATTTTTGGATGGTAGAAAAGTTCAAACATGAAAATTCCATTTGGACTGTCTGCTGCTTATCAGAAATCTCTAAGGGTATTTAATCATTCAGAATAAGAAAGGTTTCTTTAATTTTTAAACATGTATTTCATTTTATGTTTTATTTAAATTGTCTTAACATTTACATAGAACCCCTTGAAGGCTTGAAAACTTGAAATTTACGTTCAATTAAAAAAATAAATAATCATGTAGCATAGTGTATGTGGAGATATATTAGAGAAAGAAAAGGTACTGTTGGAATATGAAGATATTCTAAAAATTACAAAATCTGACTTGCCAAAATTACTAATTTATATAGTGCTTATTTGTTTTAAAGAAACTGGAAAACAGATTCCAAAAGAACTGTTGGGGTAACGTTGCCTCCCACATTAGTGGGAATTTTTAAAGAAGTAATATATATGAGAAAATCGAACTTGCAAAAATGTAGTTAATGACTGCTTATTAAACAAGGGAATTAAAGGCACAAGGATGATTTCTTTACCCATATGTTAAGAGATAGGTGTTCTTGGAATTACTCAGGAAATATGGGCTAAGGAGGGCTAAGTTTGTGCTGCTGCTGAGAACCTTTGGAAAATTATTAAGATAGCAAAGACTGAACACTAGAAACATGGAAAAGAAAGAACATGACCTGTTACGTGCCAAAATGTTGGGCAGCCTAGCATGGTCCACAAGAGACCAGGATAGAGATGAGAAGTGAGGAGCTTTGGAATTAGCAAGCTCAGACAGTAGCTGCAAACCGAAAGCATTTCTTCTGGTAAGCTTTTGCATCTCTAAACTTTGATTCCACACAGCAAAAAAGTTTGTGTATTTTCTCATAGCTATTGACTCATAGCTCATAGCTATTCCAGGAATACTCACTTTGGCCTAGGTTGTTGCTGTGTCAGTTTTTGCTGACAGTCTCTTGAGATTGATGGCAGGGTATGTGTTAGGTATGATGGCTTGCAGTATGTCCTGAAGGGACATACGGAAAGAGATTATCCTTCATTGTTTAACGAACAGTACTAAAAAGAAGATATTTATTTACTTTTGACTTAAATGTGCCAATGACAGTTTACATGCTGCAATTTCTGAGTGTACCAGCAAAATGCTAATCTGCTTGTGTTTCTCAGGTGTTTCACTTACAGTTCAGATTTGTTTAGCTATTAAGCAAGGCCTTTACTATTACCACTATATGAGTGTTTTTCCAGCCTGCTAAGGAAGGAAGAAAATTTTTATTAAAGCAACTAACCCTTTAAAAATTGATTATTCAAATCTGCCTATTGGCAACAATATGCTGAATTCTCAAGGTAGAATTTACCAAATCTTTGTTACTAAACAAATTTAGTTTCACTCATATTATGAGAATGCAAAGTCATTTCACATACTTTGGCTGGAAAGCTGGGTATGAGATCTTTCTTTCTATTTGTCTTTTCTCTGTTCTGGCATTTTCTGGTAGGAACCTCAAAACCCGATTTGGTTTCTTTGTGGTTGTATCTTTCTTCCACTTTTGGGATGTATGGTGGCTTGTTTTTCATCCTGTCTAGTGCAAACTGCTATGGTAATTTAATATTATTTATTTCATTGGGGGAATTGGCAAAAATTATTTTCTATCTGATTTGAGAGCGGAAAGTGTTTTTGGAAATGTGCAAAGAAACAATTCAACCATTAATTTTAGATTTTCAGTGTAACCATTTGCTTGTTAAGAGTAACTCTTTAGCAGATGTCATTAAGCACGCTCAGTGGTCTTTGAAGGGTGTTCTTTGGCTTTGTCACAGTACAAAAGTATGCACAAGTGTACCTGTGTTTTAAGTTTATGCCTTAAATGAAAGGTACAAGGTATGTTTTAGACAGGGGGTTGACAGGTAAATATGCAAACACTTCAGATCATGCTTTTCTTTCGGCTCCAAAAGTTTTCCTCCAGACAATCAGTGATAGGCCAGCAGGCACTAGCAGTGATTTTTTGTGTTAAACTTTGATGCATATGCAAAATTGTGTTGACAGATTGATTGTTGAAATTAGTTGCTCCTTCTGTGCAATTTTTAAGGAAAATACCCAGTATCAGATATTTCATGTTGCTGTATTCACTGGTATCATTTGTCATTGATATCATCAGTCATTAGAATATCCTAATGTAATTAAAATCTTCAGTATTTTTATATATATTATATACAGAGAGTTGTAACAAAAAATTCATTTTATTGCATCATTTACTATGGGAAGGGGGAAAATAATTTAAAATGAGACATTTTCATTTTAAAAATTAATTTGTAAACTTTGATATCTTTTTATGCAGATAAAGCTTTTGTTCAAAACCAGTTTGTGCCTGTTTAGACAGAGGTGTCCTTAGATTTTTAATCCCAGATCCTTGTTTTAAGAATGTATGTGCTATTTCAGTTTGATAGACTAAACTTTCAAAAATGTATTAGTTAAAACCTGCCCCAGGGCTTTAGCTTTTTCTGAGATTTTTGAATCACATCTGGTTAATAAGAATTTTCTTTTCTTCACTTCTTTTCTGCCTACATTAAAAGCACCTCTTTCTGTCACACAGCCTGTAGAGTTTTCCCATAGGGATATGTAATGGAGTTCATGAAAGTGAAAAAAGTGAGTCACACAGTCATTTATTTACTCATGTAAGACAATAATGGTGTTGATAGTTACCTGGACACACTTTCATATTGTTAGACTGTGCAAAAGCTAGGAGGTAAAAAGTCTTTGCAGAATTGACTTCAAGTGAAAAGAAAGATATCAAATTCAGGGCTGCATGGTGATTACTGTTTCATATAATGCTGTTTGTTGCCTTTTAGCAACAATGAGCAGAAATGTTACTCTGTCTTTGCTAGAATATTTAATTATATAAATTATGAGAAGGAAGCCCTGTTTTCATGGTATGGATAGGTATTATTATTGTATTATTATTAAAACACCAGTTTAGATTCTAATATTATGTCAACCTAGTTTCATGGGCAAAAGTTATCTGATATTCGTAGGTAAGATTTTGTGTTTATCTACTAGACAGATGACTGCAATTCAAGAATAGGATTCCCTGCTGGCTGTTTTGCTTTCCAACCCCATGGGATTGAAGTTTCAAGAGCTAGTGGCACTGGTCTAACTAAGAGCAGGAGCGCTGTAACAGCAATTTGGAATCACTCCGAATGGCAGGCTGACTCTGATGGGTTTATCAGAGAAGAGGAGGTTCCTGACAGTGGTTTCATCTCATTGGAGTGTTTTAATTACTCATTTCCCTTAGCTAAAGCTAAGAGGTGTTCTGTTAAGAGCCACTGAAATAGAGAAGAGCCCTGCATCCCCCATTATCTCTGAGGCCTGTATTTGTATGTGCAGTAGATATGCTCCATAATGAGCTGTCCTGTCCTTTCCCAGCAGTGCACATTGTCTCCCCTGTAGCCAGTGTGTCTGGGAGTGCTTGCCATGGGCAGTGTGCACCCAAACCATGGTGGTTTGGGCTTTACATCAAGTCTTAGATGCTATGAAGTGTTCCAGCATGCCACAGTCACATACAGCCCAGCCTTCCAAAGGAAAGGAGAGCTAAAGAGAGCCTTTTGCTTAAGACTCTTTGTTTCCTAGGAGAGCCGTGTGACTATGTTCTTGGCCTTTTCCATAAAGGTAACTCTTATGCATACTCAGTCTGTTTATATGATATGTTGAACAACTGGTGATTACCTCTGAAGGAGTTAAAAGGTTGGAGAATTTAGGACACAGTCAGGGCAATCCTGGATACAAAAATTTGATGATGAAACTAAAACGTACCACCTTTGTTATGTGGGAAAGATCAGTTTCTTTCTCAGATGAATCTGAAATCAAAGCTTACGTTATTCCAATGTTAATACTTTTGTTAACTTCCTTGTGTGGTAGATTTTTCTGTGAGCGAAAGTAGAATTTCTGACACCAGAAGACATTTTTGCTTTGAAATTTTTATGGAAAAGGTAATTCTATGTGTGAGGAGCATTGAAATATTCGTTAAAACCTCTACAGAAGATGTAAACAAAATGTGACACAGGTCATCACCTATCCTTGATGTTCCTTTTATTTCGGCTACTGCACACCTTGCTGTCTTTTCCCAATTCTGTTCAACTGTGTAATGCTGCATAGTAAAATATGAGATGAAAACTTGAAATGTAATTATTTTGAATTAGCTTTCTATATCTGTAGCCGTGTATCAGGTTTATTTTCTGAGGAGACGTATAACCACATTTCTATCTATCTATCTAGTGTGAGAAGCAAAGATGTCAGTATCAAGTATTCATCCCAAGCACAAGATTGCTCATGATCCTTTTTCCACTGTCTTTAGCCACTCGATCTAGTGTCTAACTTCCAGACCCTTTAGCTGTCCTTATCAAGTAATGAAGGATCTGAGACACTGCTTCACTTTTTAAATTCGCCAGTGAGCAGAGTTTACTTGTGTGAAAGGCTGCCTTTATTAGTACCTTATTTGTCTTCAGAGTTCAATTTGATATCTCCCTGGTGGGCAACTGCATGGGAGGTGATCAGTTTGATATTGTGGCTTTAGGGAGTGCATTTTGCTTCTGTAATTGGTCTACATTCCACCTGCACAGAATCTGACTTAAGATATCCAAAGGTTTTTGCAAGGTAAGCATCACTGAAGTCCAAGCCTAGAATTTTTGTCATGTCATATTTGTGCTATATTTATTTCTATATGGTTTACACAATCCATTCTGACTATACACTTAAAACTTTGCTTTTATCTAAATTTCTTTCATCTGAGATAATTCATTTCCATTTTTAACAAATTTTTTTTCTGTAGTGTTTGTCATCTGATTTGAAATGTAAAGTAAAAAAAAAGACATACATAGATTTTAAAAAACTCTTTCCAGACATTTAGACTTACATTTTCCACAAAACTGTTTCAACAGTAAGTAATCAGAAAGTAAGTAAAGAATTTTCACTTATTCTCAGCAAACTGCATACAGAGGATGAGAAGAACACCTCCGCTAGATGAACTGCAGCCGCCTCCATACCAGGATGACAGCGGTTCTCCTCATCTTTCCTGCACGCCTTCTGAAGTTGGAGACAGTAAATGTGAATATTCCCAGTGTAGCAACAGTCCAAGATGTTCATATAAGTGCCCAAGTGAGGGAAGCACGGGGCACGAAATAGAAAGCTTTCATAACAAGGGATATGAAGAGGATGTGCCAAGTGATAGCACAGCGGTTCTTAGTCCAGAGGTAAATGAAAACAGTTAAGTGTTCTGAAGTGCCATTCAGTGCAACTTTTTAGGGCTTTTTAATCTGAAGATCTGTGCAGTGTTATATGGACACTGATATTGCATCTCACTAATTTAAAAAAAAATATTTTGTTACAGTAGGATTTCAGATTGTTCAGATTACCGTAGTTATCTTTATGGCACCTTAACTTTGAAACAAGCTCCCAGTAAGTGTGAATTATTTTCAAACCAATCAGAAAACTTCTTCACACTATGAGAACTGTAGTCAAAATTCTTCCACAGAATTTTTCAAACAACCTAAATAAAAGTTTTGTAAATGCTTTTGAAACTGAACACCCTATAATGTAAAACAACTTTTATGAAAAAAAAACCAAACTATGAAGATTTTTCTTTTAATTGTTGATGTGATATAGTGGTTGGTCCACTTAATTTTCCTATTTTCTGCTATAACTGTGATGATATCTGTGTATTTTTTCTGTGAAGAAATCATCTTTTCTGACACATAAAGACATTGAAATGTCTTTAACAACCAGTTACTGCACTGATATTCATGGGTAAGTCTAATTAGTGATGTCATGTGCAGAAGAGGCTACTTTTGGTACAAATTTGTCTTTTGTTGCTACCTGAAGTATTGAAGTACATATTAGAGCTCAATCCTGATGTACCTAAGTAGACCTTTTGGTTAGTTGATGTTGCATACCTGGGGTGTTGGTACTAGATCTGGAAGGCCCAGCTGCAAGGTCCTCCAGTGGTGAGCTGTCTTTATGTATCTGATGATCAGCTGTGATCTGTATTAACTTTATTGCTCATGAAGATATGGTGTGTACATATAGTCCTTGAACCTGGATATACTGGAAGAAATCTAATCCTAGTTCTTCCCAGTGTGTCACTCCAGTTGTTAGTGTAAGCATACTCAATAAAAACTGAGAATGCTGCCAACTTTTTTTATAACCACTCAAAACTTGAAGAGTGAAGCTTTTGGAGGAATGAATTCCCCTAGCTATGTAGCAACCAGGTTAAAACAAGAATATTTTTTAATCCAAAAGGCTTTGTTGTGGCATCTATTCATTCATGTGAACAAGTGTATCTTTCATAATATGAAGATACATTTGAAATATATTTGTTTTACATACTTGGGATAACTTATTGCATGAGCAGTAGGTCGCTCTGTACTTGTAAATATTTTGTGTTTCAGTATCACTATCAAACTAACTGTTGTAAAAATATAGGAGATCAATATTTTGTTCAAAATTTGAAGCGACAATAAACAACCTGAATTTTAAGTTTAAACTACAGTTTTAGGACTGATGCAGTTTACAGAAAGTTCAGAAGGTGTGTTCAAAAGAGATGCATCTTGCACAGTTTCGCTAAAATTACCTGAATAAAGCCATGATAGTGACATCCCTGCCCATGGCAGGGGTTTGGAACTAGATGATCTTTAAGGTCCCTTCCAACCCAAGGTGTTCTGTGATTCTCTGATAATTTTTGGCATATTCATACAACTCTTGTGGACTGCAGCAGGAGCTACACATGCAAGTAGGTTTGTAATTCCTATCTTCTTTGCTGGTATCTCACTGTGCTCTCAGTCATTAGCCAGCTCTTCAAACACTGTAATATATTACCTTAAAAATGTGTGTATACTCACACTGAAATAAGGTAATTCTGTCTTTTAACATATGTATATACATTTTTACATGTGGGCACAGAAGAAGAGATCATCAGTACAGCCTAATTCAGTCTGAGCTCTGTCTGATTGGCTCCTGGCTTTTGGTGGTATCAGCCAGGTGAAGTCTTTTGATTTCTTCTTGTCTGCTAGTCAGCCCTCTCCTTGGGCTTTTGGTGTTTGATAACCTTGTTTATGAAATGAACAAAAGGATCATAGTGCCTTCATATTGTCTCAAGAAAGCTATGTAATTCCACACTAGATTTAATAATAGAATACAATAAATAAATAAATAAATGACTTTTCTTCTTCTTCTTCTTCAGGATATGTCAGCTCGAGGATCATCTTCACAGCTTCCTAAACCTTTTGATCCTGAGCCAGTAGCTAAATATGGCACACTGGATGTGACTTTTGACTATGACTCACAGGAACAGAAGCTTTTGGTGACAGTGACAGCTGTCACAGACATTCCCACATACAGCAGGACAGGTGGAAGCTCGTGGCAAGTACACCTAGTTCTTCTCCCTATAAAGAAGCAGAGAGCAAAAACCAGCATCCAGCGGGGACCATGCCCTGTCTTCACAGAGACATTCAAATTTAATCACGTTGAGTCTGAGATGATTGGGAATTATGCAGTTCGCTTTAGACTGTACAGCGTGCGTCGCATGAAAAAAGAGAGGATTGTGGGAGAAAAGATTTTTTACTTAACAAAATTGAATCTTCAAGGGAAGATGTCAGTGCCAGTGATACTGGAACCTTCTTACAGTCTGTCTGTGAGTATTAAATGAGGCAGAATAAGAATGCAGTGATATACAGTGTCCTGAATTCTGTAAGAATAGTGTGTATATTTATAGAGTCATCACATCCACTTGTTTTTTTTGAGCAGCCATAGCACTGTATTAGCACAACAATTATTTCCTGGAGCTTCTATAAGTACATTCACTCTCCACCTACAAAAGCTGCCCATATTTTTCCTTTTAATTACTTAGAAATTTCCAGTCTACAAATAGGGGTACAGTGGTGAATACATGTATAAATGCAAATATATATATATATATATACATATCTGTATATATGTGTGTATATATATATGTATATATGTTCCTTACTACCCTCAGCACTTGAATTTAAAAAGAAAAAAAAAAGAAGCCATACTAGCAAGTACCCTCCATCTGTTGCAATTAAGTCTTGCTTGCAATAGGTTATTTCGTTTCAAGAAAGAAAGATAAGAAAGAGGAATTTTGAGTATAAAGCCATTTTTAATAACTTCAGATTAAAATCTTGTAAATAATTCATTTCTGATTCAGTGTGAAGTGGAATAGTGAATAGTAGCTCAAAATGAAAAGGATTTTTTTCTGAAAAAACAACTACTTACCTGATGAACAAAATTTTTTGTCCCCCAAATAATTAAATATTTTTAATAAAGCAAAGCAACAGTAATTAAGGGTAAACATTAGGTATCACTTTCAATAAACACAGAAGATCACTAAATTGGCAGTGATTAGCATCTTCTTTTTAATTTTTGTAAGTATTTAAGTATGCATTTGTCCAGAAAGGGAGTGTTTGTCATGTTGTGGTCTGGGCTTCCTAGACTAGGAGTGCTTGAATACTTATTGTTTAAGAGCTGTATATGTGCTTAATTATGGGCTTTTTTGGGAAAAAGATGATACACTGTATGTATTTGGGGGGGGGTGTTAAAAAATCAATAAAAGAAAAGGAGGAGAAGAAGGGAAAGAAAGTATTTTTTCAGGTGAAACAATGCAATTAATTTCTTCTGTATTTTGAAAAAAACTTTGGTTCAATTGAAATGGCATTTCTGTTGAACATGAGTATTGCAAAAGACACTCAAAATGAAAGGCTGTTGTATTTAATGACTAAAAATATATTAATTAGTAAAAGCTGAGACTAAAACATGGACCTGATGGAGCATCAACTGACAATAGAACAGATTTTTTATGGTTCCTTAAGAAGTACAAATTAGTCTAATCTAAGAATGAAGGAAGTTGAACATGAGCCAGTAGTGTGCCCAGGTGGCCAAGAAGGCCAATGGATCCTGGCCTGGATCAGGAACAGTGTGGCCAGCAGGACCAGGGAAGTGATTCTTCCCCTGTACTCAGCACTGGTGAGGCCACACCTTGAGTGCTGTGTCCAGTTCTGGCCCTCAGTTCAGGAAAGGATTACATGGGAGGGTGCTTGGAGCAGGTCAGAAAAGAAAGCAAAAGCTGGGTGAAAGGGATTGAAGCAAAAGTCCTATGAGGAGAGGCTGAGGGAGCTGGGGCTGTTCAGCCTGGAGAAGAGGAGGCTCAGGGGAGACCTCATCACTCTCTACAACTCCGTGAAAGGAGGTTGTGGCCAGGTGGGCATCAGTCTTTTCTCCCAGGCAACCAGCAGTAGACAAGAGGGCACGATCTTAAGCTGTGCCAGGGGAGGTTTAGGTTGGATATTAGGAAGAAATTCTTTCCAGAGAGGGTAATCAGACATTGGAATGGGCTGCCCAGGGAAGTGGTGGATTCACCGTCCCTGGAGGTTTTTAAGATGAGACTGAATGTGGCATTTAGTGCCATGGTCTGGTAACCACGGTGGTGTTGGATCAGGGGTTGTACTTGATGATCTTGAAGGTCTTTTCCAACCCAGCTGATTCTATGATTCTGTGATTTTATGAAGTGGTTCACCTACCTAGTGCAAACTTTCCTAATCCAAAGTTTGCTTGTTTCACAGCTTGGAAAAAAACACCCTGTGAAACAAAACATTAAATATTCTAAATGTATTTGTTATGTTTGTGTGTGTTTTCAATAGGTTCTTGTATAAAATTTACCGAAGTCAGTGACAGAGGCCAATGAAGGAGCCAGGCCTGTGATTGATTAGTATATCCCATATGTGCGCTGGTTATTCTTCAATATTATTTTCTTGATTTTTTGTGACAGGGAGTGTTAAAACAAATTCCAGGAGGCATCAAAGATGATAAGGCTGTTATTTATTTTCTGTGATGGTAAGGCATGCCATGTCATCATTTTTCTCTCCTCAATTTTTGCGGTAAGGAACAGGAATAAGGAATATTGGTAGGAAGTTAAAGTATCTTCCAGAGTTTGTTGCTTTAACAAGATTTAAGCAGCCTCACCCCTTGCTGGAAAGGATCCTTCAGAGTCTTGATAGCTTGAATGAGGATCCATGGTTTTTTGGAGCTGTGTAAATAATTTTAAAGCTTTCAAAATTCATTCACATCTGACTTTACAGGTATTTTTCTCTTATCATTTATAGCCAGTATAATATTTTTCCAGTGAGCAGATTTACAGGATTTAACATAGAGTTGTTTTGCAAGAATGTTAAATTTCATTGTGTTCTTAGGATGTATGACTGGAAATGGGGAACATCCTTGGGTCACTTGACTTCAAGCCTTTGTTATTGGAAACAACCAGGTCATCTTGATCACAAAATTGTGAATTTTCATCTGAAAACATCAGGTTATTTCATTTCAGTTATTACCATTTGGTCTTATGCCAGCGTAAGTTCTTACCCTTCTCAGGTGTTTGCCTCTGGGTATATTTATACACACTGGTCGTATTCCTTTTTAACTGTCCTTTTGCTAAAATAAAACAACAATGTTTATGTTCAACTAATCATAAGTGTCAGGCAGGAGTTATTTAACGGGAGAAGGTTGTTTCAATTTGGATATATCCAGTTGCTCAAGGATATTTGTAATTTTAAAATCCATGATGAGGTACATTGTACATTCTGAATTAAATTTGCCTTGTTTAGTTGCAGAGTGTTTTGTTGCTGAGAAGTGTTTATATTTGACAGCTTTTTTTATGAAGATACTTCTTGGACAGATGACAGTTGTCCTATTTTTTTCACTGCTTCTCATTATATGGATTTTATATATTAAATATACCTTCTGTCACTGAAACTCCCTAATCCATTGAAACATCTATGCTAATCTCTTCTGCAGAAATGTATTTTATTTGCTTCCGTCTGTGCCTGATATTACAATAATGTATTTTATTAGCTAATCATCTGCCTTCTGATTGCGTAAGAACACTTTGTATCCTGTGAAGTTCAGGTTTTTTCCAGTGATGTCTTAAAGCTATACACGGGAGAATGTGGTTAAAGGTAGATCAGCAAGTTCAGTGCCTTCAGACATAGTGACACACTCACATGACTGGGGCCTGCAAGTCTCTGGTTATAGTTAAAATGTGAACCAGTGTATGTTGTGGTGGGAACGTGATACTGTTATGTTCCTTAAATAGGTTTCAAAGCTACACATGACTCCAAATTTACAAATATATTCACAAAATATCTTTTTCACCCAAGTTTTCACCCTGTTCATCATCTTCCTACGTTGTGTATGTCTTGCATTAGCAGCTATTATCCCCAGTCCTGTTGCCATTTAACAGTCCTGTATTGCTGCAGTTCTCCCACGTAACAGGGAGTTCCTCCTCAGCCCCCTTATTTATCACATGTTTCCTTCCAAGTTCAGCATATATTTGAGTGAAGAGGAAGCAATGGAACCAATATGAGCTAGGCAGAGTGCAGTTTTCACTGTTACCTTAAACTGTGTCCCTTTCAGATTTGATAGAAATTGTCCATTGCATCAAAAGTTTAATATTTACATTGTGGTTTTGTCAGAGTAGAGCTTGTGTAGGAAGATCTTTGTTGATGCTTTCAGATAAATTTTCCTTTTAGTACAACGGTAGACAAATTTGTGTTGACCCGTCTTGGAGTTTAGAAATTTTGTTTATTTATCTTCAGGAAATCCCTGTGGACCTGTTTTTAGTTGCTCTTCATTCTTCTCACCCCCAAAAATTTTCCTGACAGTAAACAACAGCCTCCAGTATAATGTGCTTATAAAGACATATAAGCAGTTTATTGAGTGAAATCTGTTTGGAAAAGATCAAAGAAACAAACGTAATCCGTCCCATAGGTTGCTTTTTCGTGTAGAATAACAGCAATCAATCATGGTTTTTATTTTGTGATTGATTTGGGAAATACCATCTGGGCAACCAAAACATACCTCTTCCTGCTAAGCAAATGTAGTAATTATTCATTATGTATCGTCAATTTACAAAGTGTTTACTGGGGAGAATTCAGTTTATTTTTCTTTCTGTCTGTAGCATTCTCTAACATTGAACTCCCAGGTGTGATCTCCATAACAAAGAATGGATGGTGTTGGCAATCGTATGTGCTTAAAAGATTATTTTTGTATATCTTTAGTATAAATACCCAGAGCGTCTGGATAATTATTTTAATTGCAGGTTTTTTGAGTGAAGGCATTTATGCTTGCAGCATATAAAGATGCTCACTCTTGCACACACACATGCACTGGCTCCACTATGAGGACAGTGGTTTATCAGCTAGTGTACATTGGTTTATGCATGATGATTAAGGCACAGTGTTTCATGTTGCCCTTTATGCGTGGCATATCTTCAGTATTCTTTTTAATGGATGTTTATCAGTTCATCATCTTTTCAGGAATAAAAGCTTTCAGAGTGGCATTTCTTTCCTGGGAATTCTTGTCCATTATAGAGTCAAGCTGTCAGGCTTTGTGCAAACTCTTAAAAGTATAAAAGTCACTACTGATGACTCTGTTACTGTGTTCTTACGGCATAGTCTATCCAGGATTGTATTTTGAAAGCTAGATACCAAAATTCACATGTATAAACAGAGCTTTATTAAATACCAGTATGATATTTAAAGCTGCTAATAAAAAAAATTACTAAGACTTACCTAGAAAAAGAAAAAAAACCCAAATATTTTCTTCTTAGTGTTTTAACTAGAG